CTACAAACATGTTCTATATCCATGTACTTATGATCCACATGTCTACACATATGTTTATCTTTTAGAACAATCATGCAGCTTTTGTCCTTCTGAATTTAACTTATATGCTTAACATGAACAAAAAAAATAAGCAGTGATCCAGGAGAATGGAAAACATAAAAATATTCTGTGTTGTACCATAGTTTCTAAGTGGTGAGTAGTACCTTATAATGCAGAACTCTAGTAAAATCATTTGAAGTTTTCATTTACCTTTCTTTGCTACATCGTCCAAGAACCTGACACCTTACACTCTCATATTACTTTGAACATAGCTATGGTCTAATGACTGGACTCAGAATAATCACATATCAATATAAGACCTAGGTAAGTGTGATTGTAAATTTTATGTATAAATCTGACTGGATTACAAAATGTTCAATAACTGGTGTGTCTTTGAAAGTGTGTCTAAAAGAGATTAATATTTAAGGAGTTAATAAATAAAAATAATCCACTGTTCTTGCTGCTAAGATTTTTTTGCTATTTTGGGTCTTTTATTATCCATATTAATTTTAGCATTGCTTTCTTTATTTACTTGAAGAAAGTTGTTAAGATTCTGATGAGCAATTGCATTGAATTTGTAAATTACACTGGGCAGTATTGCCATTTTTATAATGATTTTGTTTCTTATTGTAAAAATACTGTATAGAGGGCTTAGAGTAACATGAGTAAAGTAATGAGTACATTTTGTATCGAGCATTGTACCTCCTTCTTTGATTTTTCTCTACCATTCCTTCCCTCCTCACTTCAGAAACTCCTCCCGCCACCCATCCCCAAAGTTGTAAAGTTCATTTTCAACATAGTGTCCTGTACTTCTCCTTGTTACAATGGGCCAACCTGTATCCTTATTTCAGCATTTTGTTATTTCCCTTATCCTCCTTAAATTATATGAATAAATGTATAAATTATATAAATAAATGTAGAAACAAGATGCAAGGCACTGGCATCAAATACAGTGAAAACAGGTGTTATACCATGGGTGAAGACCATACAAAAGAAACAAAAAAAATCATATAGTACAGTATAAATATGTGAAAAACAAAACCAAGCAAGCAAAAACCACTTTATCCCTATCTTGGGGTTAATTTCGCTTAACATCATCGTATATAGTCATATGTACATAGCTTTTGACATTTTCTGCTTGTCCTAGACATATATTAGTCATTTCAAATGAGGAAAACCATGGGACCTATGGTTCTTTGGGCTTGGCATACTTCACTTAACATAATTTTTCCAAAGTCTTTCCATTTCCTAACAAATGCGTCCATTTCATTTTTCTGATGGAAGCATAGAATTACATATATATATATATATGTATATCTATAGAAAATGTATATATACATATATATGTATATATACATATATATGTATATATGTGTACATAGAGAAAATGTATATATATAAATGTGTGTGTGTATATATATATATATATATATATATATATATACATTTTCTAGATGCATTCATCTACTGAGGGGAATCTGGGTTGGTTCCATATCTTAGTTGTGGTAAATAATGCTGTGTTAAATATAGATGTGCTGACAGCTTTGGTACAGCCCTTTTTGTGATCGTTTGGGTAAATGCCCAAAAGTAGGATTGCTGGGTCATAGGGGAACTCTATGTGGAGTCTTTTGAGGAATCTTTACTCTGCTTTCCAAAGTGATCGGACAAGTTCACACTCCCACCAACAATGCAGCAGGGTTCCCTTTGGCCACATCCAATCCAGCATCTGTTGTTATTAGATTTCTTGATTCTACTCATTCTACCTGGGGTGCGGTGGTATCTCAATGTTGTTTTGATTTTCATTTCTTTCACGACTAGAGAAATTGAGCATTTCCTCATGTGTCTATTGGTCATTCTTATTCCCACTTCAGAGAAGTTTATCCCCACTAACTTATTGGGCATTTGTTTCTTTGATAATTTGTTGTTGGGAGATTTAATTTTTTGAGTTCTAAGCATATTTTAGATATGAGACCTTCTATTTGACATGGCAAGTGCATATCTTCTCCCAATCCGTGGGCTTTCTATTGATCTTGCTAGCTATGTCCTTCGCCATGCAGAAGCTCTGCAGTTTCATGCAATCTCACTTCTCCAATCTTTTTCTGATTTGTTGTGTTTCTGAGTCTTTATTGAGAAAATTTCAGCTTTTGCCAAAGATCCTTAGAGCTTCTCTTATTCCTTCCTGTAATGTTTTTCAGGGTTTCTGCTTTAAATTTGAAGTCTTTGACCCATTTGGAGTTGATTCTGGTGCAGAGTGATATATAAGGATCTAGCTTTAGTTTTCTACAGATGTTTAACCAATTTTGTCAGCACTATTTACTGAAGAGCCTGTCTTTCTTCTATTCTATTGCTTAGCTCCCTTGTCAAAGATTTGGTGGCTATAGTTCTGTGGGATCACTTCTGGGTCTTCAGTTCTATTCCATTGGTCCTCAGGTCTGTTCTTGTGCCAGTACCAAGCTGTTTTGGTTACTATGGCTTTGTAGTAGAGTTTGAAATTTGGTATTGATATTCCTCCAGCACTGTTCTTTCTGCTAAGGATTGTTTTTGCTATCAAGGGTATTTTATTGTTCCATATGCATTTTTGGATTCCCTTTTCTACTTCCTTAAAGAATGAGGTTGGAATATTGTTAGGTATCGAATTGAATTTGTAGATAGCCTTGGGAAGTACTGCCATTTTCACGATGTTGATCCTTCCAATCCAGGAGCATGGGAGGTTTTTCCACTTCCTAAGTTCTGCTTTCATTACCTTTTTTATGTTTTTAAAGTTTTCATCGTAGAAGTCACTCACTCTTTTAGTTAACTCCTAGGTGTTTTATTTTTGTGTGCATATTACAAAACGAATTATTTTCCTGAGTTCAGCTGGGCTTTCCTTATTGCTGGTATACAGAAAAGCCATTGATTTTTGAGTGTTAATTTTATACCCGGCTACTTTGCCAAAGATTCAAATCAGCTTGAGTAATTTGGGATTGGAGTCCATGGTATTCTTTAAATACTAGATCATGTCATCTGCATAGAGGGAGAGTTTTACTTCATCTTTCCCTATTTGGATCTCCTTTATGTTTGCATCTTGTCTTATTGCTGTTGCTGGGCATTCTAATACTGAAATGTAGAGAAGTGGAGAGAGTGGACATCCCTTTCTTTTTCCTGAGTTTAGAGGAAATCGATTTAACTTTATTCCATTAAGTATAATGCGGGTTGTAGGTTTTTCATTTACAGCCTTTATTATATTCAGTAATGTTCCATAGATTCCTAGTTTTTTCCAGAGCCTTCATCATAAAGGGAAGTTGGATCTTGTTAAATGTTTTTTCTGCATTTATTGAGATAATCATGTGGCTCTTATCCTTGCTCTTGTGTGATGAAATATATTGATTGATTTGCATAAATTAGTTTTGCATCCCTGAGATGAATCATGTTTGATCATTGTGTATGATATTTTTGTTGAGTTGTTGACATCGGTTGGCCAAAATTTTATTGAGAAGTTTTGCATTGATTATCAACAAAGAAATTAGTCTATAGTTTTATTTCTTTTATAAGTGCCTGCCTGATTTTGGGATGAGGGTTATGATGGCTTCAATGAAAGGGGTTGATAGTGAACTTTCAAATACAATTTTATTGAAGATTTGGAGGAGTATTGGTGTGAGTTCTGATTTGAAGGCCTTGTAAAATTCCAATGTAAATCCATCCAGTCCAGCACTTTTCTTGTGTGAGAGGTCTCTTATTACTGTTTCTATTTCGATGCTTGATATGGGTCTGCTAAGTTGGTTTAACTCATCTTGGTTTAGTTTCAGCATGTTGATATTTGCTAGAAAATTGTCCATTTCATTCAGAATCTCAAATTTCTTAGCATAAAAGTTTGAGAAGTAGAATTTGTCTATATAAATTCAGATGAAAGCTTTGGAAATGGCAAAAGAAACAACAAATTAATTAACTTAAGGCAATGTTAAAGATGAGGGAATATCTCATAACATACTGAAAGGTTTTGTGTATATTTTGATTCTTAAGGACATTTAAGTTGATAGAGTAAAGAATTTGAAAACAAATTTGTATTGTAAGTTAAGTTTACATAGAAGAAATAATGCTAGAATGATCCCAATACCAGCCCCATATTTAGAATTATAACAATAAAATGAATGTTAAAAGAATATAAAAAAATTGTGGGTAATATATTCACTATTGGATATTTCTTTTCTTATTTTTAATTTTTTATTTATAAATGGGTATTTTAATATGAGGTTGATACTAGGACAGTATATTAAAGTGATCAAATATTTTAATTATTTGATTTTGTTTTGTTTCTTAAGCTACCATCTGAAAATATTATGTATAGAGTACTAATTTAATTTTGGAAACCCATTCATTCCATAATATATAAAGAATTATAAAGAATAAAATAAAAGCATGGTGCATATCCATAATCCAAACATTGATACAGTTAAGGCAGGAGGGTCAGATATTCTGGGTCAGCTTGAATTTTGTAGTCCAGAAAATTATAGGTCAGCTATGGAAATTTACAAATATTGTCTTATCTGCAAGTAAACACAATAGATGGTAAAAGAAAAAATTACGTATTGACATGATAAATTAAACAGGACTCTAACCATTCACACATGTAGAGCACATGGGCAACAAAGATGGCATTGAGAGGGAGTTGAGTGGGCAGAGCCCAATTTGCTTTACGTTCAGTGCGTAACCAGCCCGTGGAAGCTCAGGTGCATGATAGGGTGTGACCTTTACAGTGATTGGTTCCTTTTCCTCCCCTGCCATGCCACCCACGCTTCTTTGCTTTAAAAAGGGTTTGCTCTGTGTTAATAAATGAGTTTTCCTGCTTGACTTGACTCCCTGCTGCATCTGATTGTCTCCCGGGTAGGGGAGGCTGGGAAATGGGCGAGCGGCCGCACTTACCTTTCCTCAGACCCCATCCATCTTTTGTGGGACTGACAAAGACCTGACATCTGGTGCTTAACATGGGGAGGGCTCAAAAGGAAAAGATACCGGCTGAGGCTAGGCGGTCTCTCAGGGTAAGTGAAACCCTTAGTATGGGTAATGGTATCTCACAGAAGGAGGAGGAGGAGGCAACATTAGGCCTAGAGAAAGTAAAGGAGGACTTGGGAAGTGAGAAGGAAAAGGAATGAATCAAATTCAACCGAGAATGCACTGAAACATGCACAGTGGAAGTCCAAAATGAGGGTGAAAGTTACTCCCTCTGACTCATATGCCCCTGATGGTCGTAGGCCCCCTACATATTCCCCTGATTGGGGGGGAGGTAGGGTACCCTTCGCGACCTGTGAGAGGGACTTGCAAGACCCGGACCCCTACCAAACTTCCATGGAGGGACCAAAGGCTGGGGAAGTAACCTACTCAGAGGCCTACCCTGGAAGGGAAGGGCCACCCGAGAGTCTGGACCCTAGGCCACAGGATTCCCGTCCCCAAGCGTATCCAGTCAATCTGGCACCAGGAGCTAACAGGCCCTTGGAATGGTATCCATAGGAAGCTAAGGATCTTAAAGAGCTCTGCAAGGCGGTGGTGGAGGATGGCCCAAACTCTGCTTGGGCCCAGACCCTATTACAGGACACGGCTTATCACTTGGCTGGAAGTGGCCAAAGCCCTCCTCACCAGTTCTCAGTTTATTAAATGGTGTGCTTTCTTTAAGGAGGAATGCAGAGTGCAAGCAGAGAATAACCAGCAGGCTCAACCTGCGATACCTATTAGTTATGCCATGTTAACAGGGACGGGGGATGGGTACTCCACTGGCATCCAACAGGCCACAATAACTGGCCTGTACCATGACCAGGTGAGGCAGGCAGGATTGCTGCATTGTACAAACTGGATGATGGGCCTACTGAGTCCCCCATAGCAGGGGTGAGACAAAAACCAGGTGAGCCTCTACTGGATTTTATAGACCGAGTCCAACAGAGTGTTCACTAAAAGCTGCCAGCAGGGAACCTCCGAGATGAGTTTGTAAAGTTGCTGGTCTGGGAAGGGATGAATACAGACCACCGCAGGGACTGCTCAGGATTGAGAGAGAGTTCCCTGAGCAGATGGGTGGTGGCCTCACAGGATGTGGGAAGGCAACAGCACAAGTCCTAATCACTAGCTTTAGATTTACAGGCTCAGACATCAGCAATGACTGAGGCTATTACCCAGGCGCTGGCAGCCCAGGGCCGAGGAACCCCATGACCATTGGGGAGAGGGACTTATTTTAAATGTGGGCAGGAGGGGTACATTGAGAGGGGACTGTTTACAACAATACCCTGCCAACCGGCCGGGGGGGGGAATAGCCCCCTTACACCCTGCCCCAGGTTCAGGAAGGGTACCATTGGAAAAAAGATTGTCCATCCAATTTTGATTTAGATGGGAAGCCTTTAAACTAGGGGAGGAGCATCCTCCAGCCCCATTAACTCAAGGAGGAAACCCTCTGCTGTGAGGCCCAGGCAGCCTTGTGGCAGGACGACCCTGCCCCATTGGACCATCCCCCAGTTGGAAGGACTTTGCCCTAAAATGAGTATTCTCATAGGTGGAAAGAGGTTTCACTGCTTAATTGACACGGGGGCAGATCAAATCATACTCAGGGAGGAGGAAGTGCCCTTGGACTGGAAGCTTGCACCTGGGCCCCCAATATTGGGGGTAGGGGGCAACTCCCAGTCCAAAGAGATGGTTGCCCTTATGAAATGGAATAGCCCAGATAGAGAACAGGGAAAGATACACCCTTTAGTGGCAAAGGTCCTCACTGCCAACTTACTAGGGCAAGACATGCTAAGACAAATGGATGCTGTGGTCACTACAGACCATCAAACATCCTATGATGATATCCTGGATGGGGAAGAAGCACAAAGGCTTAAACAGGATCTAGAGCGAGTTAAAGAAAAGGATTTTTTTAACTTTCATAATTACAGAGAAGAACATAGGGAACCCGCTCAGGTGCACCCCCAATCCTAAAGGCCACTGCCCTCCGAGTACCTCCTATTAGGTGGAAGCCAGGAAGCCCAATCTGGGTGGAGCAGTGGCCATTGACCAAACCTAAACTTGTAGCCCTCCACCTTTTGGTGAAGGAACTGATAAACCTTGGGCACATATGCCCTTCTCTGAGTCCTTGGAACACACGAAAGGATGGAGCTAGTAGAAACGCCCCTAAGAGGTATGTCCTGGACTCCTGCTATACTTACAGAATATACCTTGGTTGTGATTGATATTAAAGATTGTTGGGTTTTTTTTTCTATCCCTCTGCATCCAGATGACTGCAAGAAGTTTGCTTTCTCCATCCCTTGTCTTAATTTTTCCCAGCCTGATTGGAAGTTTGAATGGACGGTGCTGCCACAGGGAATGGCCAATAGCCTGGCCTTTTGCCAACAATACTTGGCCACACTTTTAGGGCCTGTGCTGGGTTCAGATACCTCCCTTGCCTATGCCTACATGGATGATATTATTTTGGGGCACGAAGACCCGGGCCGCCTGGAGGGCCTTCTGACCCAGGTTCTCATCATATTAAAAAAGGGGGGTTTTACCATAGCCCTCAATAAAATTCAAAAGGTACCTCCTTTCAAAGTGCTTGGGACCCACCTTACCTTGACACAGGCCAGCCCCCTTAAGCCTTTGTTGGTTATTCCAGCCTCTCTAACCTTAACCCAACTTCAGAGTCTTTTAGGAGAAATCAATTGGCGGTTGCCATGGGTTCCTGTCCCTAAAGATAGTCTTGTGGCCTTATTTGCCCTACTAAAAGACAGGACACCCCAAGAAGTTATTACAATTACAGACAGTCATTGGACAATATTTTTGCAATTCCAAAAAGCCCTGGATGAAGTTTCCCTGAAGAGGTATTCTATTTTTGAGCCCATTTCCCTTTGGTTGTTTGCAGGTGTCACATTAATTTCTGCAGTTTTAACTCAAAGTGGGGAGCTATTAGAGTGGGTTCATATTCACCTAGTGGGCACACCTCGGGTGTACTGTCAAGCAGACCAACTTGCAGATGCTATCGTCAAGGGAAGGACCCAATTCCAAAGGCATTATGGCCTTGACCTTCACTCCATTATTTTTCCTTTTTGGATGGCAGACGTTAAGTGGCTTACTCAAGCCAATGCTCGTCTTGCTCTTTCCTTAGAAGGGTTTCTAGGCCAAATTGATTGCCATTATGGGCCATCCAAATGGACTGTCATTTTATGGCGACTTCCCCTCAAAATGCCATCTCTATTTTCTCCTATGCCTATCCCTAGTGCCTCCATGTTTTACTGATGGAGGTAAAGCAGGCTCTGCATATGCAGCCTTTGAGGAGCAACAAAAGACCCCAAGACAACAAAGATTTCAACCTTGTCAAGGGTCAGCACAATATAAAGAAATGCTGGCTATAATTATGGCCCTTCAGGACATTCAAAAACTCTTTAATTTGTATTCTGATAACCTAGTAAACAAAAAATGGAAGTAAGCCCTCATACATAGTTACAGATAGCTTTGTTTTCCATTAACATTTTAAATTTTTCAAAAGGAGCAACTGAATCCAGATTTTAGAAACACTGGGGGCAACTAAACCCTAAGCCCTAAGTGAAAGTCAGGTGGAAGGACCCCCTTACACAACAATGGAGAGGACCTGACCCCTAGTTACTATGGGCAGGGGATTTGGATGCGTTTTTCCCACAGTCCCCATTTGGATCCCTGCCAGGAACCTTAAATTTTTACCCATTTCCTCTATACAGGAGGATGCCCAAGGATAAGCTAACCAACAAGAAAAGAAAAACGGCTATGGTGTTGAAGGCTTGTGTTTAAAAGAGAAAAGCCAAAAAGATAATTACTAACCATCCCCAAGGGCAACCAGCCCTTGAGAAGCTCTTGTGTTCTCTAACAATTGCAGATGGCAATACTTCAGCTGTTGGCTGTCCTGACCCTCCCAGTCCCGGCAATGTCCCTAGGAAATCTGCATCAACCTCAATGAGTGACTAGGGCAGTGATCATCGCTTGCAATGCAGAAATCATCAATAGCACCACAAGAGAAGCTATCCCTTCGACCTGGTGGTCTGACCTCCATTTTGATCACTACCTTATGTCATTATGTACGGACTGTTTAATATTTCTGTAGGAGCTAATTATTTTAATGTTACCTGCTCTAATTGTTCTTTTACTAATTGCTTGTATATCAGCATTATTAAATCCATAGTTATTGTTAAACAACCACCTTTTGTTATACTTCCAGTTCAGATCTTTTCAAACCCACAGGCAAATAGCTGGATTAGAACAAGCCCAACCTCTGGACTATAAAGTGGCAAAGACTGCTATCCCATCCTTGACTAATGTTAAAGGACTGCTAATGACATTGCTTGGCCTGGTAATGCGTTTGCTGATGGTTTTTCTATGCCTTACTTGCATTATACGTGCACTACAAAACTCTTATGAGCTTAGCCAGCCAGTTACATAAGATCAAGCTCCAAGTGAATGAATTTCCCCTGAGAGGAATCACAGCCAGAAATGGATAAGAGGGGGTGTCAGTCTGACCAAACTAAAACAGGACCTTCAGGTTCCCTCTAAAGAAGTTCCCGATGATGGGGAAGGCAGACAAGGTGATCCACCCAACCTAAGACAGGCGGGTTCGCTTCTTTAAACAAAGACAGGGGGGATGATATTGGGAGCCATTTGGAGCTGACAGTAAAGCTCAAAGGTCATCTTGACCCCTGTGCTCGATTAAAGGCATGTACAAGGAACTGGCTCACTTAAAAGACACGAGGTGCCTGGGATTGGTTTGCTATGTCTGCAGAGTTTGTTTTAAATTTTCCTTGTATTTCTGGACTATAGTAAAATGGACTGAGTGTGGGTGCCCACTGTAAGGTCCGCCCCTGGATGGCAAGCTGACTCCATCCTCCTTTCAGCAAAGTCTCCACCCAGTACCTGCATTACCTAGGCAACTGGGACACCTGGAAGAGGTCACATCTGCATCCGCTGAAGTCACATCTGAATTTGATGTGGCCACAACTTTCCCAGCCCATACCCTAGATAAGGCCTAGTGCAGGCCCAGGCACTCTCTCTGCCTTTTTCTAGCTCTCTCTCTCGCTCTCTCAGTTCTTTTCTGCTTTCTTTCTCTGCTCTCTTGCTCTTTTCTAGCTCTCTCTGCTAACTAGCTCTCTCTGTTCTATTCTAGCACTCTCTCTCTCTGTTCTTACCTCTCTCTCTGCTCTTTTCTAGCTCTTTCTTCTCTTCCCAGCTCTCACTCATTCCCAGGCCTTTCCCAGCCACGTGGAGTGCCAACCTTGCCTGGTCCCAGCAGGTCTACTGAATAAACCTACTCCTTACCTGAATACCACGTGCATGCTGGTGCAGTTCTTACACGGGTACCTCTTTTTAAAAACCTAACACCCACAAGGATGCACCGTGCCACATGTGTGGAACTCCCAATACCAGGCTGTTCCCATATTCTAAATATGACGACCTTACGAGATACTGACTTTTATATATGCCCAGGAATTAATTGAACTGCTTCAGACATTTCTAACTGTGGTGGGATTGATGTTTATTACTGTGCAAGGTGGGGATGTGAGGTAACTGGGACTGGCTCTTGGGTCATGCACAAGGGCCCTCCCTATCCTTGTCTGGCAAATCTCGACAACCAGACTTGCCTCGAACCCTCTGCATAGCCAACACTATCCTTACCTCATAATCCTGTTAAAATAACCTTTACAGAGGTGGGAAAAGGATAACTAACTGGGAGGTGGGTCTGTCATTAAAAGAAAAAAGGGGGAGTATGTACAGCACATGGGCAGCAAAGATGGTGCTGAGAGGGATTTGAGTGGGCAGAGCCTGATTTACTGTAGAGCACATGGGCAGCAAAGATGGCGCTGAGAGGGAGTTGAGTGGGCAGAGCCCAATTTGCTTTACAGTATGTAACCAGACCTTGGAAGCTTAGGTGCATGATGGGATGTGACCTTTACAGTGATTGGTTCCTTTTCCTCCTCTGCCATGCCACCCGCTCATTTTTGCCTTAAAAAAGGTTTGCTCTGTGTTAATAAATGAGTTTTCCTGTCTGACTTGACTCCCTGCTGCATCTGATTGTCTCCCGGGCTAGGGGAGGCTGGGAAACAGGCGAGCAGGCGCACTTACCTTTCCTCAGACCCTGTACGTCTTTCGTGGGATGGACAAAAACCCAACACTCACAGTGTTACCAAAGGAGGAAATTCTCAGAAGAGGATCAGAAAGATTCAATAGCTGTGTGCATATGATCATATGAAAATGTTTATTCTAATGAAAATGAACTATACAACTTGTTGGGGAGAGGGGAAAGGATGGCAAAAACTAGCAGGAGGGAAAATATCTAATTAATGTAACTGTAACTCCTCTGTATATAACTTTTCCAATAAAACAAATTAAAAACAGAAATGTAAAAAAATTAGGTAAATTTAAACATAGACTATCATTATTCTACACAAAATTATAATATGTGGATGGAAGAAAACACAATTAAATTACAAGGTAGTCCATCTATTAATTAAATGAATTAATACTGCAAAATATATACATACTCAAGTAGAATATACAAAATTACTGCATTTTTTAAATATTACAATGACATTTTTCTTAGAAATACAAAAATATTCTAAAATTTGTGTAGGATTACAAAAGTACTTAGTATTTAAAATAATTCAGAAAAAAATATAAAAATACATAGTTTAATGGAGCAAATAAAATCTACAAATATATCCAAGTTTAAATGGAAAATCAATTCTTCGCAAGAAGCCTACAATTACAAAAAGAGGGAAGATTCTTTACAATATGTGCTATGAAGAAAATTTTTTCATGCAGAAGAATAAAATTAAAATCTATCATACACACAAATTTATTCAAAATAAAGACCTTAATATAACATAATGAACTATCAAACCTCTAGAAAATAAAATAGAAAAGCTTGTATTAGTATTGGCAGTGTTTTTTGGATAAGATATCAAAGTTCCCGACCGCAAAAACAAAAATAAATAGGAAGACATTAAATTTAAAACTTTAGAGTGGTTCCAGGAAGATGTCAGAGGAAAAGTTGGAGGCTTAACAAGGTCTGGCCTAAAAAGCAGTTTTAGTGTTCCAGTGAACAGTCCTAGGCCAGAGAATTACACCAAGTGTGCCATCACAGTACAGAGAGTTTGGCCAGAGAGGGAAAATCCAGGCAAGTAGACAGGTCTGAGCACTTGACAGCAGCTGAGGCTGTGGCGGTAGCTGAGGCAGCTGCGGCTGTGGCGGTAGCCCCCATACTTACAACACAGAGAGTCTGGAACAAAGGCACCCGATGCAGCAGGCAAGCGGATTCTACTCAACACCAGCAGGAACTGACAAGGAGCAGATATCTTCATCCTGCAGATCACATACCACAGATGATCCAGTAACCAACCCTCTGGTGTGAGTAGAACCTTGCCATCCTCACTCCTTTTCAGGGAGCAGAGGAGGGAAGGCCACCACTCCCCCTCCCCCCACTACCAGAGATCTCCATCTTTGATACTGATAAAGGCCAGCTGAGCTTCAAACTTCAACTTCGGCCTTGGAAGAAAACAAAAGAGTCATTTAGCAGGTCACAGGAACCTGACCTGACCTGCCAGGCTCAACTCCACCCAGGGGAAAGTCACCCAGCCCAGGCATAGGAAGATCCTCCCCGGAGGAGTGGCTTTATTCACTGGGTAAACAGAGCCAGAGGCTGCCCCTCCCAAAAGCAGCCTAGACAAGCAATTGAAATTCAGTAGACATAAACCCTGAGAAAGACTCCAGGCTGGGCTCTGTGAGTGTCTCAGGAGCTAGCCCCTCAGGGAAAACCAACTGTTTGCTGAAAGGCCTCAATTCTACCCAGAATCTAGCCTCAACACAGCATCTCCAAAATAGAGGAAACAGCCATCTTCCTCTTATGTGGTACTCAAAGCAGATCTCCCTCCCAATGAACTAGCCTGGGAAGAGGATCACAAATCCTGGGTAAAGCAGGGCATTTTTTCTGCCTGCCCAAACAAACCAACTTAAGAAACAAATAAAGCCACAGGAAAACCAAATACCACAAGCAGACCAGAGACTCCACCAAGAGACTGGTTAAGGACTCAAGGGAGATACAGGATCTTCCCATCCCCCCCCAAAAAAAATCAAAGAACTATATTTTTGCATTTTTTTATTTTTAAATTTTTAATTAAAATGTTTTCTATTAATCCTTTTTTTCTTCCTCTTATTTTTATTTTATATGTAGGCTTTAAAAAATCTCTACTGACCCTTTGGTCCTTTTTTTCTGTCTTTCTTTCTCATTCCTTTTACTTTTTATTCTCTTTCGTTCTTTTTTTTGTGTGACTTAATTGCTGTTCTGCTCATCCTCAGATATGCCTATCATTGACTATTAGACCTTATCCCCCATTGTGTACACATTTAATCCAGAAATTTATTACTGAATTCAACACCTCTTAGGCTGAAATTACTTAATAGCAGTATTATTTCTTTATACCTATACAATATTTTAAGTATTTTTTAGTCTCCTTTCTATCCCTCCCCTCCTCTCATCCTATCACCATTCTTCTCTCATTACTTTTTTAAACTTCCATAATTTTTGTGTTTTACTTTTTAAATTTAAATTCTTGTCTTTCCATTTTTTCTTGTCTCTCTTTTTTTCTTTTTTTCTTCTCTAACTCCTATCTCTTTCTCTTTCTGCTAAAGGTCAAATAAAAAACTTCCATAGCAAAGAAAAACTGAAACAATATATCTCCAAAAAACCAGCCCTACAAAAGATACTTAAAGATTCCCTACATATAGACAACCAATAAGACCACAATAAAGGCCAACAAACCACACCCAAACAGAATCCAAGAACCATAGGAAGAACCCAGTTGCAGCAAGCCCCAAGTAGATGGATAAAATGGCAGGAACTCCCAAATACCTCTCAGTCCTATCTCTCAACATTAACGGACTTAACTCTCCAATTAAGCGACATAGACGGTCTACTTGGAAATGCTTGGAAAAAAATATTAAGTGAAGTAAGCCAGGCCCAAAGAAACATATGTCCTATGGTTTCCATTATTTGCAATATCTAGTATATGTCTGAGTCAAGCAGAAAAGGTCAGATAAGGTGGTGTTAGGGAAATGAACTATAAGATATGTATTCAAATCTATTTTTCTTTCATGCAATTGTTTATAAAACATTTATAAGATTATTTCTTTGTTGCTTTGTATGTCCCTCCCCCACAGTATAACCCCTGCTTTCACTGTATTTGATGTTGGTATAATTTGTGGAGGGGAAGGGGAAAAACAAATCGTTTAAATAGGGATACAGGTGGACCCATTGCAACAAGGAGATGTACAAGTCATTATGTTGAAAACGAGCTTTACAAC